GTGTGTGTCTGTGCGTATGTATGTATGTGTGGTTACGACTAATGAATAGAAATGTCGTCCTTCAAAAGTTTTCGGCTGAGAGAAGCTCTCAATTTGCGGCGCCACCACTATTTCCTCCCTCTGTATCTATGGGTTAATGAAAAGCTGATTTCTCAATCACACACACACACACACACACACACACGCTCATGTACTCCCTTCGCACTCCCACACACATCTTTTAGCTTGAAGTTGACTTTGAGTTTTTGGCTTTTTGAGGACCCAAGGAAGCGTGGCACAAGATTTGCGGCTCACTTGGAATGCAAAACTTAAATGCGTGCCATATGAATCGTTAATTGTGTGGGCACACCAGCCACCAGCCCGAGCCCATGCCGGAAGCGGATACGGGCTGGCGGTGGTTCGGTTCGTTTCGGTTCGGGCTGGTCCTGGCCATGGTTAGGGGGTAATTGGTGTGAAGGATAAAGGGCTTTTGTAGATGGCGGGGGTATTAGTCAGTCGCAGAGTTTGTGGCAATTTGTGAGAGCCAACTTTTGGTGGGGCCTGAATTCGATAGTCAATTTAAGAAGTTTTGTTTTCCCTGTTCCAGATCAAACGGTAATGTTTCCGCTTAAATGGGGAAAGACATTACATCTAAAATTAAATCAAATTTAAAAAATATGGCCATCTTAGAATATATCTAAGTCTAAAGATAATATTGATATAGAATATTCAGTCATAACCAAGACCGACCGGAAACCTTTTCGAATTTTGCAACAAATCTCAATATGCGTATCTTATTAATAGTAATAGGGAATTTTCAATCGATTCCTCTCGGGCAAAGAGAGGAACAATCGCACAATCGTTGCTTTGTAGTAGAATGGTCTTAGAACTTAATTTCCTTTGTGTTTCTAGGGGAATTCCCAGCTGTCCCACCCTCCACAATGTGCTCTGGAGTCTCCACATCTTTCAGGCTAATTTCAGACCACAACAAACCTTCTTAAACCGCAAAAACATTCCCAACTTACGATATTTCCCTGTCTTTAAACCGTTTCCCTGATTTATATCCAAGTGTACTAGTTTATTCCCAATTTTAAAACACCTCCTTTCCCCAGTGAACCATTTTTGCTGCTTTAATATTTATTCGCAGAGCAATGGCAAATATTTTTGTGCTCATTCATAAAATTTGACATTAGCATATTGCATTTCCATTGCGTTAATGTGACAAAATGACAAATGAAGTTGGTTTCGCTCTTCCAGTCGCATTCGCATTCGCAGTCGAAAGCCGTCTGTCTCCGTGCATTTTTCCCACACTTTCTGCCACTTCCTGTGGCTCCCTCTCCCAGGCGCTGCGTCTGGCTTCCCGGGAAGTTGCACTTGAAAGTGCATTTGCATTTTCATCGGAGCCCTGGCACTGGCACTAGCACTGGCACTGGCCCTGGCAAAAAGCAAAACACTTTGACAAGCGTTTACAAACTCGCCAGCGCGACACAAACCCCACCCAGCAACAGCAACAGCAACAAGCCAAGGAGCTGCCATGGCAACTTTGAAATTGATAAATTGATTTATGCAAACAAAACAGATAGAATAAATATCAGAAGATGGGGACAGAAATCTTTATATCTGGGCCCCATGGATCCGCCGTGCACGAGCATGAAAAATGATGATGGGGGGGAAGCGAATAAAAAACTCACACACCCAGCAACCGCATGACGCAGACACGGCATTTCACGAAGTACGAGTACCATTAAAATACGTACAAAATCAATTAATAAACAATATGAAACGAAATTGGGAAATTGTTTGAATGTCCGCCACAGACACGACCCTCGGCTGCGCCCCTCCTCAATTTAAGTATTATCGTGCCGCCCCACCCGCCTGCCTTTGTGGCTATTTCTGCTCTCATTCAAAATTTTTATGAAAGCCATTGCTTTTTTTTCTTCATTTTTTTGTTGTTGAGACAATGCTTAAAGTCACTCGCACGCGGGATACCCATTGTGTGTCGGAGGCTGTTACTGTGGCTGCTCCTGATTGACTCACGCCCCCTCACGTAGCAACAGCAGCAGAGGAGACCCCAACGACGACTCCAACGACGACGACAACAACAACAACAACGTCAATGCCAAACCATATTTTCGTAACAATTTCAATTTTTGCGCAAAAAGTGGCTGTTGTTCTGCTCACACTTTGATGTATGCACTGAGAAAAGAAGCTGAACTAGGCAGGAGATGGGGAATAATCAAGGACCAAATTGAATAGACCAGCAAAACGGAGAAACTCAAAGCCATATACATATATTCAATATATACATATTCAAATACATATTGATGATTTCTTTCTCTCAGTGTGCCCTATTTTGTGTCCTCTTACTCTGGATATCAACGTATGTGTTTGTGTTTTGTGGCCTTTGCATGTGCACTGCGACATTTAAACCGTAAAGACAAATAATTCAATATGGCATACAAGTCACGTGCCCCTTCTGTTATTGCTTTCTGCTGGCTTTGATTTTGTGCAGTCAACGGGGGCCCCAGACGATATAGCAGATGCGAGGGCGGCAACACGCCCCAAAAACGACGAAGTACGCAAAGCCACGGACACACCCACAGACATGTGTGTATGCAGATGTTCGGCCAGTGCCTGCTTAAGCAGTAATCATTATAAACTTAATTAAAATATCGACAGACAGGGCAATGCTCGTGAACGACAGCAGAGCCCCTGAGAGCGGGCAATGGTTTCTTTTACGAGTAGAAAGGCAAGCGGCAAATATTTAAACTGCCACCTACGCGCACTCGCACCGCACACACAATTGTCTGCGAATTTATATAGACACACAGAGATACTCCACACACACCCGCACACACACACACACGCACACTCATGCATACAAGGGGGGTACAATCACAGGTAACGGCTACATGTGTAAATATTTACAAAACGCGCCAAGCGTCGGCAAACTGACGCCAGCCGCCATCTTCACTTTTGCCGCCATCTAGCGGGCTATACACTTGTTGTTGTTGTTTTTGTTGTTTTTGTTCTTGTGGGTATATAACTCTTTCGTCGCGACCAGGAGCGGGGCGCCATGGGCGCCATGGGGAGGCCTGTGGGGCCAGGATATTAGTGAAAGTACCTGCTCGAAATTCTAGAATAATTCGAGGCATTTTTTAACAAGTACATATATTCATGAAACCATTATAAGCACTTGGGCTTTCATTTCTTATAGATACCCATCTGATACAATTTTCGACTTCAAAAGCAAAGGTTATTATCTTATCACGCGTCCTGTAGCAGCGCCCCTCGGTTGGTTTGAGTGTCTGCTTGTGATCAGCACTTAGCAAGCTTCGGTGAAGGTCTTTACTAGGTCATTAGATAATGTGCAGATAAGTAAACGGGTAGATAATAACTATAATATCAACGTCTTAAGGCTTCTTGAGCTCAAATGGCGACACACTTGATCTATGGAATCCTTAAAGTACTCAAAGGCGTTCAACATCTTTCTTCCTCTATTCACAATCCTTTCAAACCCTCTGACAACTCCGCTCCTGGCTATCCCCATACTACCACGAACCCAAAAACACACGGGTTTATTTATGCCATTCGATATTTATCGCTGTTCCCCCATGTCCCCCTTGTTGTTGTTGTTGTTGTTGTTTCGCTCTTGCCACCGCCACACATGCCACATGCCAGCACTCCTTGTGTGGGTGTGGGTGTTTGTGTGCTTGTGCTTTATTCCCTTTTATTATTATTATGCTGTCATTTCTGTTGTCGCGACATTGTCAGAGCGCACGTCGTGTGCGGAGCTCAAAAACAGACCAGACCAGACCCATTGCCTCGGCCGTATGTCCTGTCCCCGCCGTGTATCCCTTTTAAGCCCGCATCCGAGAAGGGGTTAAGCTCCCTCGTTTATACAAATCGTTTCTGTAAACCTTAATATTCCTTATGCCTAACGAAATGCCCCCCAAAATCAATGTGTTTTTAGTGCTCGAAAATTGATCTTGATATCCGTTCGGAGTATGTGGCGGAAAATCACATCTTGAGTTCTGTTTCAATTGCCCTCATATACAAATCAATTTCTTAAGTTCCTGCGATTCCCAGGCTTGTCGAATATGCCTCATAATGTCAACAAGGCAATATTTCACAACGGTCTCCGACGATGTCTGGAAGCTTTATGCTGTCGTCGCTGTCGTTTGTCGTTGGGGCTGGCTGGGGCCACAAGGGTGTAATAAATTTCTAAAAGAAAAAGGAGCCACATAGCACATACATAGGTTCCTTGTATACATACATAGGTATGGTATTCATTCCGGAACTTGTGGGTATAAATCTATAGATTAAACAAGAGCTGCCAGCATTTCAATATTCACTTTCAATAATCTAGTCAAGAGTTATAAAAGTACAAAGAAAACATTCAATTTCCCTCCCCATTAAAGTCAGAGAAGAGGCCACAAGTGAAGGCGCCCCTGGGCCTCACCCTTATATAGAACCGAACCCCTATATGCATTGAAGCCCACCAACCCCCTTCTGGGCGAGAGAAGCCTCAAAGGGCGAAACGTTTAAACGCTTTGCTGCTTGCCTCTGACTTTGATATGCAGCCATTTGAGTGTCGCTTGATGCAGTAGCAGAAACAAGAGCAGCCATAGGGAAGGGCTGCAAGGGTACATATATAGTCGTACTCGTACTCGTACGAGTATGTGGAACAACCCTCAGGGCTAGGCAATCTCCAGTCTGTGGTCTGACAGTTGCAGTTCCCGCATCGCATGCCTAGAAGATAGACGCTGAGGCCGTGCCCTGTATATCAAACCAGATCAAATGGAAATGAGATGTTCTGGCACGCGCAACGGCGCTCCATTTGGACATTAGTTGTAGTGACTAATTATATGTTTTAGGACTAATTATATCTATATTTTTCTGTTGGCTTATAATTTGCGGTTGGGCCCTGGATAATTACTATTATTTTGCCGACAATTCGCGATACTTATGGAGGCTATATATATAAGATTGCCATTACCATTTTTGGGCATATTTTCAAAATGTTCCTACACGTAATTGTTTTGGATGCCATCCTGCTGCTGGCGATCGTTAGCCATTCGAGTGGAGGGACCTACGAACTTTTGGTGGCCGATGAGAAACTCTTCAGTGATTGCCCGAATCAGGCAGTAGGCACTCTCAATCAGCATGGCATGTTCGACTTATCAGACTTGAATAGAAGCATGAATGCGGACGGTGTAAACATCGCAGGAAGCCTCACGTGCGCGTGGGATGTTCAACCCGAAGATCGTGTGGAGGTGATATCGAGGGCTCCTCGTAATGCCAACTTCAAACTATTCCCACCATATTATAGATGTCCATTACCCTTCTCTATTTCGACAGAGGCAACTGGCAGTCCACCGTCTTCTCCTTGGTGTCGAAGGACTTTTGCAAGAGCATGTACGACGAGAAGCAGTATTGGTACAAGTTCTGGACCCAACACGTTACGAATTCCGCAGATGTAAAGGATAAATGTGTCCTTTACCCTGGTGTAGGTGCCTCCATTCTGTTTGAAAAATATTTCCGAATTTCCACATGTATGTTTTGTGTGTGTTTCTGCAGACGAAATTACAGCTGGAGCCGTTTATGCTGTCCTTGAGGGCCTCCACCTCGGGACCATTCCGGAATGGACGCTACAAGGCCCGGATCCGCTTCATTGCTTTCGATCAGAGCGGGGCCAGTCGCCAACCGAACATCTGCTTCGAGATTATGGGCGACATTTACAAAGTTTGAGTTTTTTCCTGTTTTCTTTTGTTTTTTATACTAAAAATATGTACGAAATTTATTATTGGTGTGAAGCGTACAAATCATAAATCATATTCATATAATATATGTATATAGAATGGTTTATATATACACTCAATCCATCTTAGGGGCTATTCTGAACTCGGCTTAGGGTCTAGATCCTTAAACAAATGTAGCGTCGTACTCTTATTATCTACGGACTACGGACCAAGCACGTATCACTCATCCATTGCTTGTATATGATTGCCAGCGGTCGTTGCGTGGTCGATAGGGCTAAACTTAACTAAGACACAGGAGATCGTTGAGGCGTTCTATCGTTGAGGCGGGCAGCAAACGCCGCCGCCCGATCATGTCAGATGGGACGTGGCCGTGGTCGCCGACTTTCCGGTAAAGAACCGATTTCCGCCAGTCTGTGTGGTGAAGAGCAATGTATCCACCGAAGGCAACATTTGATTCGAGCGCACCAGCAGCGGCACATTCACCATCGACACCGTGGTGGAGGCGGCCGACACACTCGTCGTCCCACTCACCGACAGTCCCGAGGAGGGGGAGCTGTGCGACGTGTGGCTCAGCTTTCCCTGCGCATTTAGCGTGAAGGCTGGCAGATAGTAGTTCCCAGATCGCACCGGTCCCGCATGCGAATTTCCATTGTTGGAGGAGACGGCAGTCAGCTCCATGGAGGCAGGAGATGAGAACGGCGACGACTCGAGTGAGGGGCAAGCTAGGCGATCGCTGGGCTTACAAGGCACTGCAAACAGGAGAAGCGAGAATTACAAACAATTTTCGTTACGGGGAGGATCATTTTTCACTTACAAAATTCTTCATCTGGGAGCAGCTCGTCGGGAAGCTCGTTCTTGATCTGAAAGTGCAGGGCTGCAGCCGAATCGGAGATGGCATTGTCCGATGTTCCCATTTCCGTATTGGCATTGGGCGCATCATACAGTCCGCACTCTTCCATTTCTAGGGCCTGTTCCATAATCAGTTCTTCGGCCGATGTGAGACTGAGGCCGTGCAGATCCAAGAACGGGCCCTGCGAATGCACTGGTTCCTTCTTAATATGCGGCAGCGTGGGACAAGCGATGGGCTCCATCAGGGCCTGGAGTTGGGCTTGCTTCTGTGTCTGGGGCTTCTGCTGCAGCTGCTTGGGTGCCGGCTGTTTGCGTTCGCGTTTGGTCTTCGCTTGCTTGGGGGGTGGAGGGGGCAATGTCACCAGTACAGTGGTTAGCTCCTGCTGGGATCCTTGTGAGGCCTTTGAGGGCGCCGGGTGCACCTGTTGGAGTGCAGTGCCCGCCGGCAAGGTGATGCCCAAGGCGGCCAGGGTGGCCTGCTGTGGCTGCTTCTTTTTGCGAGCCTGTTTCACTGGCGTTGGCGCCGTCGCAGCTGCTGGACTGGGCTTGGCTTTGCCATCCGTTGTGGCCCCAGGATCTCCATCCCCATTCGCTGCGGCTGTTGCTGCTGCCGCTGCAGCTGCTGCGGCGGCGGCGGCTACTTTCTGTGCCTTGCTGGTGGTCGACTTTTTCGAGCAATACGAGGGAATGTTCTCGAGGTGTTCGCCAGTTTTGTGGTCCACCTTGTGGCGGCGACGGGTGTGCTTCAGCCAGTTGGGGAAGTTGGTAAAGTCCCGCGGACAGTAGTTGCACTTGAAGGGTCGCATCCCAGTGTGGATATTCGAGTGTTGCTTCAGCTTCGAGTTGCTAATGAAGCTCTTGTCGCAGACGGTGCAGGCGAAGGGGCGCTGCTCCAAGTGCACCAGATTGTGCACCTTGAGGCAGCGCTCGGTTTTGTACATTTTGCCGCACTTCTCGCAGCGATAGGAACGCGTTTGGGCATGGTACTTCTGATGGCGCTGCAGATGGGAGCGTTCCTGGAAGCGTTTCTGACACTCGGGGCACTCGTACGGCTTCTCCGATGAGTGTATCCGTGCATGATGCGTCAGATTGATCTTCTGCACAAACTTTTGGCCGCAAATATCGCACTGATACTTCTTGTTGTCGCTGTGGATCTTACGGTGCATCCACATGCTTCCCAATTTGAGGCTAAACGAGGGATAAGCGAGCCGATTAGAGTGGGATCTGGGGCAGAGCTATAGCATGGGCACTTACCATTTGCCACAGTCGGGGCACTTCTTCCAGGTGTCCTTGCGTCCCTCGGTGCGATGCGTCTTGAGGTGCTTCTTGAGGCCGGCGAGCATTTCAAAGTCGCGCTGGCATTCGTTGCACTTGTATGTCATGCGCAGGCGATGGCCGGCCGCCTCATGCTTGCTCAACTCCTCGGGACTCTCCAGCAGCAGGCCATTGCAGTCCAGGCACTTGTGAAGTGGCACAGGATCCACTTCGAAGGGTTTCGCACTGCCATCCGTCGATATTGGCGGCGGCATGCTGGACGCTTCTCCGGACGTCGTCGCCACCGGCTTCGGCTGCTGGAAGATGGTAAAGGCTGGCGGCATGTAATCCGACTCGCAGACCTCCGCTTTGGTTACCACATTGAGTGGCTTGAGCTCTGGCAGCGGCCTCTCCTCGAGCGGCTCCTCCTTGAAGACCTTCAGACGCACTGCCGTTGCCGCCGGCAGCTTGGGCTTGCGTTGCATCGGCTGGGGCATCAGTTGCATGTGCATCTGTTCCGGCGACAGCTTCACCGGCGTCGTGCAGGTCGAGGATGAAGTCTTCTTGAAGGGGGAATTGGTGAAGGCATTCGGCGGCTCTGGCCGCAGGAAAGTCACATTGAACTCGGAGCTGTGATTGTCACTGGATAGATCACGGGCCACGATGCTAGCGCTGGGCCCCGCCACCAGGTCATCGCGGCACACGTCGGCGGAGAGATTGAGCTCCGTGTTGTTCTGGGCGCTCTCGTCGAGCACGCGCCAAAAGTCCGTGGACGAGAGGCTGTTGCCGTTGACGAGGCTCGCGGAGCTGATGGTCACGCAGGCGGATAGATCAATATCCAGAGACTCATCCTTGATGCTCGATATCGAATCGAAATTGTTAATGCGCAGCAGGGAGCTGAGAATCTCGTCGTGTGCCGCCTTGGTGGGGGTGCAGTCCCCGCCATAAATTTTAGGCGGCAATTTCTTGCTTGGCGCCTCTTCTTTCATTCTCTTGCCTTTTCCTTTACACTCCATTCGCCACTACGTACACGTACAGGTTATGCGGTCGGCGTTTTCAATTGCCAAACTGTCTGATTTCTGGCTGTCGCTGGTTAATTTCTAGCACTGGCCCACTTTCTACTGTCACTGGGTCCTTGATTCACACATTTCTGGTTGTTTTCCGGGGAAACGTACGCACGAATTGCACAAAAAACATTTAATTATTGTGAAATGCGCCTCGGCTTTGTTGTTTTTGTCACGCTTACGATTCTTGAGTCGCCATTTTGCGCATAGTGTTCGAAAAGATGCTTCTCTGGCAGGGCTGCTTTGAGCATCTATCGATAGCGCGCATACCATCGCACGATAGCATCAATAAGAGCATCGATATTGAGAAACTGGTGGTGACAGCGATCAGCTGTCGCGATTTATCGAAGCACTGCCGTCTCAATTGCGGAACAAAACAAAGTATTCTTTATATTAGATTTGTGGGAAGATTTTCCCGTTAACGGCGGTTTCGAAGACCGGCGCCGCCCTTTGCCGCAGCCGTGGCCCACTACTCCGCCCTGCCTCAGCCCCAGGCCACCCCGGTGTAGAGCACACTGACTGTTCATCAACAAGTAAATGACACAACAGCAAATCGGGCAAAACATTTCAAACCATTAATCCGACCACAGAGCAGACTATCGCTGAAGCTGGACTGGAAACTGGGACCCACACTGGCTACCGTCAACACCATCGTCCTAAAGCCAGCCGAGCAGTCAATGTGTCGCCGACAAAGACGTGCCATACATCCCACCAGCTACGACCGGTAAGCATATCCGTGCCCAGCTCTCTCTTCTATTCAGCTGTGTTCTAAAACGTTTCCTCTTTTAGCTTCCTGGGCGAACTCGCAGAGGCCTCCCAACATTGTCGTGCATGCCATGATGGCGAGGCGTCTGTTCTTCTCGACATATGTCGGTAGGCCATCATTCGAGCCCGAGTCGATGGCAATGAGCGTCTGGAGTTAGGAGGAGTCACATCGGTGGCCCTGGACCAGCAGTCCCATATGATCTAGTATGCCCCTGGCAAGCGAATCGATGGCATGAACAAGTAAACAAGAATATGGGGATCCAATGGACACATGTGTAATCCCCTGATCCCTCTCTACGGGAAAACCCTTGTTTCCATGCATATCTCGTTGCCAAAGTTTCTCTTTGATGATGACGACCAGTATGATGTCACTTATTTTTTGGGCTCAAAGATTATCTTCATACTCCGGTTGACAAGCAACAAGTCTTCAAATACCAGCAACATTGACGCGACAACTTTGCGACTGTTTCTTTGTTGAGCTCTTTTGCTTAAACTATATTTTGGGCAAAATACAATAAATGGAAGTACTTAAAAGTAGTTAATCTTGTAGAAAATTGATTCATCAATGGGATAAAACTATGTGTGCAGGGCCGAAGGTTTTAGTTAGCCAGCATTATTAAACGCAATATCTAAATTGTCACTTTTTTTTACCTTTTTTGCTGAAACCTAGTTTTATACACCATCCAATAACAAGGAGTCCCTAAAATATGCAGATCTTGTAGAAAATTGATCTATCAATTGGATAAATTTATGTGTCCAGATATTGAAGCCCTAGCTAGCTAGTAATATCAAATCGAATATCAAAATGGAGGAATATGGATTTCAATCCTTGAGAACAACTCTTAGCCCATTGTGGACCAAAGAGGTATTTTAATATTCCACCGAAAATAAAGAAAATCAAATCATTTTAGCGCAGTTCAAGTGAAAGATATGGGGAGTTTTATTAAGTTCAAAAGAAAGGTGGCATGGATTGACGAGAAAAACTTACATAACATAATGGTTTTCCGACATTCACCTCAAGTCGCTGAACTGTTTAAATAGAGGGGGCTCAAGTGGGCTAAGTTCGTTTTTTCAATCGGTATATTTACGGTATATTTTGAAAATGAGACGGTATTTTTCGGTATATTTCTGAGGGTCAGACCGTATATCTTTTCGACAATTCTAGTGTCTAATACTAAATATGGCGTCCGGCGAAAACGTTTTGATGGAAGGTAAATTTTATTTTTGTGTGAAATAATTGACCCAGGTCTAATCTAATGTGCAAATAACTAGTCAGCAGCTAATCGCTAACTTTGAGCATAGCATACAGAGTGTTTTTGGAAGATAAGCAATAAAGATAAAGCGAAACGAGTGAAAATCACGCGGCAGCGAAAACCATAACATCGAGTACAGTTTATGTAAACCGCATGGACTAACGTAAACGGGTTGACTATTTTTCCAGGTCGCCGCACACGCTCCGGCCGAAAGGCCACATCACCGCCAGCACCGGCTCTTGCAGTGTCCACAAGGACCTCCAAGCGCACATCCAGGCGACACGCGCAGGTCAGTACACCCACAGAGCAGACACACAGCCCACAGTCACCTCCTCCTCCTGCTACAATTGATGAGAAAAAATGCATGTCTTCATGCGGATGTGGCGTTGTTCCGTTCGCATATGATGCCCCACAGCACATGATTTTCTGCAAGGGCCAACTGATGTAGCAATCGAAGCCATCGCCACAGCATTGCATTTGATGTCCTAAAATATTTTCTAATCACATTCAATACGCCTTGCAGGTAAGCGTTTCTGAAGAGGAAGAGCCCGAGCAGCAGCTGCCACAAACAGTCATCAGCAGCGAAACTGCCATGGTTTTGGATGAGGAGGACGAGGACCAAATGCGCGAGTCCTCGCTCCAGGAGGCCTCTGTCCGAGAGCAGCATTACGATGAGTTGGCCCATCTCCAGCACCAGCTGGACGATGATGTCGAAATGATGGCGGCCACAGAGACCGGGGTGGACGAGAAGAGTTCCTCCTTTCCGTTTGGCACAGTGGCCGAACAGCATTCCGAAACGAGTGATGATATCAAAGAGAGTCGTGCCGAGGGTGGCGTAGACACGCTGCTAGCCTCCCTGGCCGGGGATAATGCCAATAGTTTGCCCTCCGTTGGGGGTAACGATGAGAGTGACAGCAAAAAGGCCGCTTTCGATTACAACGTGGAGGCCCTGGAGCCCCATGGGGAGAAATTGAACTCGTCGGAGGACTCCAGCTCGCATCATGCCATTGCAGAGAGTCTGGGCGATGAGGCCGACACCAGCAATGCCACAATAGTCAACACAGAGATAATCTCAGAGGATGAACTGCCTCCACCCACCAAACCAGAGATCAACGATGCCGAGGAGGTCTCCGACGAAGAGCTGCCGGCTCCCCAACGCGCCGAGTTGCCCGCCGATGCGGAGGTCATATCCGAGGATGAGTTGCCTTCAAATAATAACAACAATAATAACAATAATGCGGGTGAGCCCAAGACTTCGACAAAGCGCAAAGCAGAGAAAGAACAGGCGGAAGAGGCCAAGGACAATGCGGAGCAGAAGAGCAGCGAAGCAACCAGCACAAGGGAGAAGTCCGTGGAACAGTACAATCCGGGAAGTCCGACCACAGAGAGCAACGATGCCCCGCCATCGGAGAAGCGGCCCAAAGTAGATGGTAAGTCGTCTAACGCTGATAGAAAACCATTTTCCTGACACTTTCTAAAACAGACGCCGAGCACAAGGAGAAGAAAAAAGACAAAGAGCGTGATAAGGAAAAGGATAAAGAGAAGGAGAAGGACTTGGCCGACAAAGAGAAGGAGAAGGAAAAAGAAAAAGAAAAGGAAAAGGAAAAGGAGAGAGAAAAGGAAAAGGAGCGAAAGAAGTTGCCGGATCTTGAAAAGTACTGGCGGGTGGTCAAAGACGATCCCACAGATTTTACCGGCTGGACATACTTGCTGCAATATGTGGATAGTGAGGTGAGTGTGCCACAGATAATGTACGATAATTGTTATTAAACTCTCATCGTTCTCCAGTCCGATGCGGAGGCGGCACGCGAGGCCTACGACACATTCCTTTCGCACTATCCCTACTGCTACGGCTACTGGCGGAAGTACGCGGACTACGAGAAGCGGAAGGGCCTCAAGGCCAATTGCTACAAGGTGAGTACCCCCCCAAGAACAACACACACACATTTAAATCTGTTTCGCAATTTCTTGTATGTACGCTTACAATTACGATTACAATTGAAATTCCATACTGATATTTGTTGTTAAATGCAATTTATTATGATTATTATTACCGAATAAACAACAAAACGAAACAAAATATACATTCAATAAATGCAACCATCTACAAAAAAAACAAAACAGTCTAGCCGTCAGCCAGCCGTCAGTTTAGCCTCCAGTTAGGGTCTGCTTCGGGAATGAGACTGTAACACTATCTGGACAGCTAATCCACAATTGATTTGATTTCTGTTGCAGTTTCATTCCCTCAAATTCAACCACACTTCAATATATCCTTGCAAAAGAGCATTATCCTTTATATTTGAGAGGTACAGAGGGTCTGCATCCGTCTGGCCCGGTCTTGTCCATCTATTAACCTAAATGGAATACCCACCCTTAACAGATTCCATATAAAGGTAGTCTGCCCTACCTGTTTCTTTCCTTGGCTTACCGTTTTTTGCACCTTTAAAACTTGTTTATATACCCAAGAGAAAACCTTTTCTTGTTGAATGCTAGCTATTTGCAAGGGTATTCCAAAGCTTCGGCCTACCGTGGCTTAAGTCGGGATCTTTTTGTAGCTTCAACGATATCCTAGCAGTACCGTAGCAGTATCCTCACCGTTTGTGTCGCACATAGTCACACACCCGCTCGTTGTCCTGTAGCTTAGATCAGTTTAGACACCACACCCTTTGGTCACCCTTTGACCTCTCTGAGAGCGGTCTGAGAGAAAGCTGGAAGACTGATTCGACTAGTCGAATGCTGCTTGCTCGTTTCGTCTTTCGTCTACTGCCACTCTACTGCCTCTCTTCGTATCGCATTCGGTCGCATTACTGTTCCTCCTACTACTACATCCTCTTCAACACGAACTGATAAAATAGTGTTCTGATCCTCGATCGCATCTCGTGCTCGTACTCGTACTCGTACAGTCCGTAAGTAAGTACAAATGGCGTTTAATGAAATTTATTAAGTCTCAGTGTGAAGATTTTTTTTGTATCTTAATCTTAATCTTAAACGGAAACACGGAAAAGTGTTTTGTGCTCAAAGTGTCTGTGTGTCTTGTATTTAAAGTCGCCTTAAGTTAGCTCCTAAGCTCGAAACACCATTCAATCTACATCCAAAAGATACGATAGATAGCCCTTAAGTGCCAACAGCTACCACAACCGTTGATTTATGAACTATACAAAATTTCCTATATTTCTCCTCTGCAATCGATCAAAAAATCAAAAATCAAACCCAAAATTGTTCCCGAAAAATGCTTAAAAATCGAGTAGGTGTTTGAGCGCGGACTGGAGGCCATACCGCTGTCGGTGGATCTATGGATACACTATCTGACGCACGTGAAGCAGAGCAGCGACGAGGAGCAGTTCATCCGCAGCCAATACGAGCGGGCGGTGAAGGCCTGCGGCCTGGAATTCCGCTCGGACAAGCTCTGGGACGCCTTCGTGCGCTGGGAGAGCGACTCGAAGCGCTATCAGCGCGTCATACAGATCTACGATAGGCTCTTGGCCATACCCACACAGGGCTACAATGCACACTTCGACAAGTGAGTGAGAGCCGCTTCCTTGTGGTTAACCATTAACCCATTTCTTTGATTGCAGTTTCCAGGATGTGATCAATCAGCAGACAATTACCGCCTGCATTGGCCATGAGGAGATCATACGTTTGCGCAAGGAACTCCACGACCGGCTGCACAGCAAATCGTCGAAATCCTCATCGAAGAGTAGGCGGGACAGCGGCAGCAGCAGCTCCAAGGAGGCAACGAAGGGTGAGCGGGAGAAGAAAGAGTCTGGAGGTGGAGGTGGAAGTGGAAGTGGAAGTGGAAGCAGTGGCGGGGCTGGTAAGTCGCCAAAAGATAGTAGTGAAACACTTGTCGATGAATCAGAAAGTACCACCGATCTGACCGAAAGCGAGTCATCGCCCCCAGCTTCAAAGCCGGCGTCTCAGATCGATTTCAGCGATCTTAGCACTCTCACCGAGGAGGAGGCGACCGTCATCAAGGATAAGGTAATATCCGCGCGTCGCAAGGTCCACAAGGCAACCGTCGGAGCGGTCACTGCTCGCTGGTCCTTCGAGGAAGGCATCAAACGACCCTATTTCCATGTGAAGCCTTTAGAGCGTGCCCAGCTGAAGAACTGGAAGGAATATCTCGACTTCGAGATCGAGAAGGGTGATCGCGAGCGGGTGGTGGTTCTGTTTGAGCGCTGCCTCATCGCCTGCGCTCTGTACGACGAGTTTTGGCTGAAGATGCTCCGCTATCTGGAGTCGTTGGAGGATCAAAGCAGTGTCGTTGAGCGCATCCGCGATGTCTACCGTCGCGCCTGTCACATCCATCATCCGGACAAGCCCAGCATGCATCTCATGTGGGCCGCCTTTGAGGAGTTGCAGCTGAACTTCGATGGCGCCGCCGATGTTTTGCAGCGCCTCGAGCAGCGCTGCCCCAATATCCTCCAGGTGGCATATCGTCGCATCAATGTGGAGCGTCGCCGCGGCTCCTTGGATAAATGCCGCGAGCTCTACCAGCACTATATCGAGGGCACAAAGAACAAGGCCATTGCCGGCAGCCTGGCCATCAAGTATGCACGCTTTCTCAACAAGATCTGCCACGATCTCGATGCGGGTCTAGCTGCCCTGCAACAGGCCCTGGAACGAGATCCGGCCAACACTCGAGTCGCTCTCCAGATGATCGATCTGGCCCTGCAACGGCCGACTGTGGACGAGAAGGAGGTCGTGGAGATCATGGACAAGTTCATGGCTCGCGCCGATATTGAGCCGGAGCAGAAGGTGCTCTTTGCCCAGCGCAAAGTGGAATTCCTCGAGGACTTTGGCAGCACGGCGCGTGGCCTGCAAGATGCCCAGCGTGCGCTCCAGCAGTCACTGAGCAAGGCCAACGAGTCGCAAAAGAAGAGGTAAGGAGAGCCAAAAGTATTCTGGATCATTCTCTAATAATAACTTTGTTTGCTTTTCCAGCGACAGCAGTCCCAGTCGCAAGACCTCCTTGGGCAGCAAGGACGGTGCTGCTGCACCAGGCCCATCCTCGGCCTCGGCGGCTGCCTACAACAACGGCGGTGGTGCGACCGGAGCGGCGGGGGGCCCCAACTACAACTACAACTCGGCGGCCTCCGGCTATTACGGACAGCCGAACAGCGGCGGCGTTGGTGCTTATCCGGCGCAGCAGCAGCCCCAGCAGCAGTCCTACGACTCGTACTACAACCAGTGGGGCTACGGATCGGGCGGTGGTGGTGCCAGCGGCGGTGGCAACAGCGGAGGGAACTACAACTATGGCCAGTGGAGCGGCTATGGCAACTATTACTAAGCTAAGTCCCTCAAAAATGTAACCCTAAGAGCACCACACCCCCGCACACAATCCTCGGTTTAGTTGTTTGACCTCCTTCGATCCCCTATCTCTAATTTTATATTGAATTTTAGCTATTACATACGACTATGTACCATATATCGAGCATGTCCAGAACTAAATTTTATCCCAATTGATTTTTATCTTCACAAAAAACAAGTTACTTTTCATTATGTGCGCGCTGATAAATTTGTTGCATCTTGATTGTTCTTTTACTCACCCACACCCCCACACCCCTACACACACACAGAAATACAGTGTATGCCCCCCGCCCGCCCCTCGAGTATGCGTCGAAATAAAAGATATTAACTATTAATCGGTCCAGTCCAACAAGTTTCCATGTATTTCTCAAGGGGAGATTCTTGAAGGCAGTCACAAGTTCCGGATAAAAGAACTACATTAAATAAAACTAAGCAATTTACAAATTCTGTGAAATGCTAAAATAAAATATTAAATATTAAAAAACTTAAAACTTAAAGATTGGGCCGATACCAGGTCACCTCCCCGCTATTGCAGCCCGTGACAAGGAGGGGCTCCCGGGGACTGAACTTGGCGCAGAGCACTACATCCTGGTGCTCCGTGATGTGTGCGAGCTCCACCAGCTGGCGCGGGCTCTGCTTGACCTCCTCGAAAGTCTTGTAGCTGGGATAGTCGCAGCAGTCGGCGCTGTAGCCCAAGAGGCGCACGCCGTTGCCGTAGGGCGAGCAGATGATACGGCCGTCGGCGGAGAAGCCCGGCTCCTTGATGAAGCCCGGCTTTGTGTTCGTCTCGGAGGCGTAGTACAGGAGTTTCTTGGCATTCACCAGTATGGAATGGTCATTGGATTTCAGTTCTGGTGCCATGGTGGCCATAAAGGGGACTAGACGACGTGGTCCGATATCGACGCGCACTGTGGTGCCGTTGTTTGTGACGCCAATGCTGCCCCCGCTGCTGGTGCTGCTTCTCTCTGGATCGGTATCCTCGGAGCTGGGTAGAGAGGCAGTGGTTTGGCGTTGGCTGGCCGCTACCGCCGCTGCCGCCTGACGCAATGGTAAGACTCCACTGCTAATGGCATAAACAAAGTTATATCCACTCACTTGGTTGTTGGCCTCACGCGCACGAATCTGGCGCGTGGCACGCTCTTGGACGGTTACCTCTGCTGCCCAGATATCGGGTATAAAGCTTTCTGGTCGCTCATGCAGATGCCGTGCGTATGCGGCGGAGACACCACGGCCGGCAGTTGGATTATATCGGAATACCTGCAAGCCGCCGCGCGTGAATCGGCGTGTCGGACGCGTCGGAAGCCCGTCTTGACTGACGCTTCCTTCTGGAGCCGTTGCTGGAGCAGTCTCGGACGTAGTGGCTGCACGACCGGACGTGCTGGATGGGTGGCGTCTTTTTAATTTTGGCACCACCACCTCCTCCTCAATCTCAGCATCGGCCGTGGGGGTCTCCTCGTTGATGTCGTGTATGCAGGTCCACTCGCTCTGCTCGTCGCAGCTCACATTGCGCGTCAGCATGCAGCGGCAGTGCGGATGAATCTGTAGGGCCATTATCATCTCGGCATCGTTGTGCTCCGGAAAATCTGTGACCAGCTCCACGCGGTTCTTCTTCTGGCGCCGCGAGAACACATGATCGTATTTGGCCGCCTGTGGTATGTACTGATCGCCCAACTGCATGAGACGATAGATGCCAGGCTGAAAGCGCAAGAGATTACAGCAAGAGTCTCCCATCAATGCCCATTCAAGTACTCACTCTGAAGCCACTGAGGTCTTTGTGCAATGTGGTCAAGTCCAAGTGATGGATGATCATGATGTAGCCACCGCTGGTGCACAACACCAGCTTGTCGCCCGTCGGGGAGATGCGGCATCTCATGAGGCCGCTGGCATGGAACACACGCTGCGAGATCAGGCCCTGTTCCGTGTGCGAGGCAATGTCCCAGGTGAAGATGCTGCCATCGAAGCCGGAGCTGACGAGCAGCTTGTCCTTGGACGAGTACTCGATGTTCTTCACCCAATTGGAATGGCCATGCAAGACACGAAGCTTTTCGCGCATGTTGCGCAAGTCCCACAGAGCGACGGTAAAATCATCAGAGCCCGTGGCAAAGAGGCGATCGTCGAAGAACCTAGGAACGGAAGTGTGTATGTGTGGTAGTGCCTGCCCCTGGATGCACATATGTAGACACCACATGCCTGTGTGTATACTCACTTGATGCAATTGACGCTGTCAGTGTGGGCATCGGGTACCTTCACGATTTCCTTCTGTGTGATGGCATCGAACACCAAGACGCACTTCCGCTCGGTGGCGGCCACCAACACGTTGCCATCGGCATTGAATTCCAGATTAAAAATCGCCCCAGTGTGGCGTCCAGCCTCGTCGGGACGCAAGTTGGCGTGATAGCTGTTAAACATATTCATGCTTGTATATACGCGCCGCATCACAAAGTTCTCATCGCCCCACGAACGGAAGCCACTCTCGCGCCGACTTAGATATTGCTCCATGGTTATAATTCACACGTAAGGATCAGAAAAAAAAATTAAAAAATTGTTGGCCAACAAGAAGTCTGCCAACGGTAGTGCTTGATGGGGCCACTGGGTGTCGCTTTCTGTTTACGATTGGCCGACGAGGGATGCACTGACAGTTCGTGACGAGCCAAAAATACAATCGCGGTTTTCACTACAGCAGAATGTGAAATATAGCACCATTCAGGTTCCGGCACAATTCAAAATATCAGATTTTCTCTAGAAAATGTGTCACTTTGAATTGTTTTCTCAACTCTAACACAAAATCAATAGCCTCGTTGCTGCTGGAACTGAACTGGAACCGTTTAACAAATGGCAGACTTCCCAGGGCTACCCCACCCCACCAGGTCACCCAGAGTACGGTCACACTTGCTTCTGTGAAATAAACAAAACGCCAATTTTACTGCAAAAAAAGAAGCAATTAAGAATGTAGTTCTGTCGTTTTTGAGCCAATTGTGAATATTTTTAAAGCGCGAGCAACATGGAGAGGTTTGCATTTAAGATCGACGCAGCGCTGAAAGCGAATCTGTACAAGATCTGTCGTCTCTGCGGCATCGATAATCCAGGCAAGGTGCCAATTCTGCTGCCCAATGAGGCAAATATTATAGACCTGGACGATCCTAGTCTGTCCCAAAAGGTGCTCGAATTGGTCGGCTTTACGGTAGGTAGGGACACGCCCAGTCATTGGTTCGATTAAACAACGCCCTTTGCAGGTGACAGTTGACGACAAAATGCCGCAGACAATGTGCAGTCTTTGCGTGGATAAAATCAATGATTTTTATGAGTTTAGGGAAATGTGCTATGCCACGAATAAGCAGACGCGCAACCTGCTGGGCCTCCAGCAGATGGAACCCCTAAAGGTGAGCGCACTATTACCGAATAAATGTGATTCTTGTGAATGGGTAAATAATTATTTTTGCATCAGCTCCTGGGCAGCCAGCCCGTAGTTAAGGCAGAGCCGCAGACGACGGTAAAGCGAGGACGAAAACGAAAGACGGACGAGAGTTTTCTGAAAGCTAAGATCTCTGAAGTTCCAGAGGTAAAAAAGGAGCCCATGACATGGCGAAAAAAGCAGCGTCTGCAGCAGACGCAGCAGCAGCTGCTGGAAACCAAAACGGAGCCAGAAATGTAAAATGAAGTACCCAATTATCCAATCAGTTATCTTATCAACCAATTGATTCTCCCCCCGCAGCAAGAACGAGCCCATGGACACGGAAAGCCGTATCCGGCTGCCAGGGAAAAAGGGCCGCAAGGCGATATGCAGTGTCTGTGGCGAGAAGTTCGCCAGCAAGGATCTGGCCGAGGAGCATAAGAGCGCGGTGCATGTACCCTCGATCCCGCGCTACATTTGCAACGCCTGCAATCAGACGCATCACAACCAGGGCGACATTCGGGCCCATCAGCTCTGGCACAAGCTGTCGAAGACCCCCTACAAGTGCCCGCTGTGCGACGTGAATGTGCCCAACAACTACGCCTTTTCCCGCCACCTGCGTGAGCATACGCCACCGACTCCTGTGCAGCTGCTTGTCCTCGATCGCGAGTGTCCACTGTGCAAGAAAACATTCGTGACGAATTTCTTCTACAATACGCATCGGTGTGCCATACGCAAACGCAAGTGTGGTGGCTGCAATCGAGCCCTCAACACAGAGGTCGCCTTCATGCGGCATGCCCCCGTCTGCTCAAAGATCTACCTTAATCACTCGAAGCACATTCTGCCCGAGGCAGCCAACACCGAATCACAGATGTGCATTAAGAACGAGGTGGAGGAAGACTACCACATCACCAGCGATTCCCCTGCCTCTGCTATACCGCCGGACTTTATGCTGAACGAGCATATGCAGCCGGTGGTGGTGATCGAGCGCCTGGCCTCTCCTCTGCTGCGAGCCTCAGCAGAGCCGCAAAATACGCTGGGGGCCAGCAAGAGCAAAAATAGCGAGCGAGTTTCCTCGAAAAACTATTTGAAGCGCGTCGACGAGTTGCTGAAGAACACAATGAGCACGCTGGTGAGCATCAAGCATGAGCCGGAGGTGCATATAAATGACACAATGCCGGCAGCCGCCGTGCAGCCGGAAAACGAACCTCAGGCCGAAATGCAGGAGGAGGAGGAGGAAGAACAGGAACCCCCAAGCTTCAGCGATTTCCATGAAGCCAACGATGACAGCGATGAGGAGGAGTCCGAAGCGGCGGCAGTGGCCCCGGAACCTGCCGCAATGGCTGCCAGCATAGACGACAATGTGCCCAGTGTGTCCGTGAAGCAGGAGCCTCGCGATGAGGCCTACGAAAAGCAGTCGCCAGTCAAACAGGAGCCGCTGAAGCTGAAGCTGAAAATCACCAAGAATCATGGCAAGCTGAACTCTTCGCTGATCGATGACCTCGACGAGGCGGGGCTGAGCAGGAGCAGCAAGAAAAAAAAGAAGCGCAAGCACAAGGAGCGGGAAAAAGAAGCCAACAGTCAACCAAAAGCTCAGGAACACCCAATGGTGAGCATCAAACAAGAGCGTCTAGACGCCGATGATGTGCCCGATGGAAATCAGGCGACAGATTTCCAGCCACAGGCCACTGTGATGACGAGCATACCGATGTCCCATCTGGAGAGCAGCTTCAACGACAACGACATAGCGGCACAGGACGAGCCAATGCCACAGGAGTGCCCGGAGCCCGAGGAAGATGTTAAGCCCAATCGCATGGAACTGGATCGCCTCATGCAAATCACGCATGTCGCCAGCGGTGTGGACATTGCCGAAGAAGCCATGCCCCTGGACAAGGCCGTTGAAGCTACCCCCGATGAGCCACTGCTCTCCGATAAGGGATTCAAATCACCGCCCAACGAAAAATCTGCCAAGCCTACTGCCCGTAAGAGTACTGGTGGCGCCAAACGCAAGCCTCCAGCAGAAGAGTCGCCGCGGGAGACAACACCCTCGCTGCAGATTGTGGCTGTGGAAAGTGGAGAGGCCGTATCGTTCAACATGCCTCCCAATATTTGCATTAAGCCAGAACCTCGTAATCGCGGCTACGCGGACGATGAGCCCGAGGGCGAGCCGACGGCGGAGATCAATCATAATGAGAAGATCGACGAGGAGAATGCCTACATAAACAGCCTAGACTTTAACAACATGGCCGTGAAGCAGGAGAAGGACCTGGACATTTCCGATCCGACTGCAAATGGCTCTGAGCCGGAGGCCATGCACCTGAGCCACAACGGCTTGGAGAGGGGCAGCGATAGCGAGGACTCTGATGGCGAGGACAGTGCTTCTTCGGCCGATGAAGCTGAGGAAGCTATGGAGGAGGATGAGGGCGAGCGTATCTATCGCGAGATTGAATTGCCTTTACTAGAGCCGGAAAATCAAGGAAAAGAAGCCACACAACAGAGCGAAGAGGCTGCGCCCGAGAATATGGAGGTACAGACGCCTGCGGCCAAGCCAGATGTAGTGGGAGGTGTAGAACTGCCCAAGGAAAGTCTTGAAACAGTTGGGGAGGTAGTGCAGCCACAGGAAACTCCCGCAGCAGATGCTCCAGTGGAAACACTGCCGGAGTTGGAAACTCTGCAAGATTTAGCTGCCCTGCTGGAAGATTCAGAGATAACTGGAGAGGCAGATCCGCCGCAGGAAGCTCCCAAAGAAGTTGCTGATACAGAGCCACCCCTGAACACTCCAGAAGTTGTTGGGGAGACACAGCATCAGTCACTGGAAAGTCCAGAAGTACTTGGGGAGGTAGAACCGCAACTGGAAACGCCAGAGGCACTGGCGGAGCTAGAGCCACCTCTATTGAGAGTGCCAGAGCCGGACACCGCTTTTAATTTTGTAATAACCAACATCTGCAGCCAAGCGGCAGAGACTCCACAATCCGCCAGTGGTCACAGTTCGGCCATCCCGAATCTTAGTTCACCCCCGCCGAACCCAGAGTCGCTGGAGAAATCGGACACTGAGCGCGAAAGCCCCGATTGCCAGGCGGACACGCTTCCAGAGATTAGCCTCAATGCACCCAAAGACATTGAAACTCAGGCCTTGCCACTCAACTTGGAGGAAAGCAGCTTCATCTGCGACGAAGAGCAGCAGAATGTTCTCAACCATGAGCTCTCCGAGCAGCAAGCGCCCCTCGTTGGGAATGTGGAGCAGTCGGCAGAAGCCGAGGAAAAGCTCTTGGCACCAGTGGAAGAGGAACTGCCGCCACAACTCGAGGAGGAGCTGCCTGGACCGTCGTCGAGGCCAAACGAAGAGACTGAGAACCGCATCAATGAGCAGCAGCAGGAGATGGACCTGGAGGGGCAACGGCAGCCGCGCTGCCAGGTCGAAGATGACTCCAACATCAACGAAATTGCAGAAAACAACAATAATGCCAACATAGAGCGCGAACTGCAGGACGATGCGAATGTGCCTCAGGAAAACGTTACTCCCTAGACTTCACCTTCAACATTATATGGAACTGTATGCTCTCAAGCCATCACACCATCTCGTTGCACTCCCAAGAAGCTGTACATATGATTAATATCCCATCGGAGGATGGTTCTTGGAAGGGAAACATTTAAACAATAAACACATACTAGGTTTTAGAATCCACTTACAAGCAGAATTAACATTATGCTAGCTTTAAGTTAAGAGATACAACAATTAATGATATTAATTAATGGCTTACATAGTAGTAGATTTGTATTTTAATATCAGTAATGCAGTATATACATATGTATATTGCACAAAAATGCACTATTAGTTCTGATTTATTCAGATCGAAATTTCTATTGGAACCGCTGCAAGAACAACAAGATTCCCGAGTCCCCCAGGCATACAGTTTAATTCAATTTTTTTTAAAGTTATATGCATAATTATATTGATGAATAAAAGTGTACATGTTTGTTTCTTCAAAATCATATATCCCAAATGTATGTTGTATCAATATTAAGGACAGGATGGCAAGCGGATAATGGCCGTACATATATCCAGTACACTTCAAAGATTTGACAATTATTGCAATTCTACTGAAGTTTAGACGTATTTTTTATTTTAGCAATTACTTAACCCATCATATTAGCGTTATTTTGTGTTCAGTCTCAATGTTCGTCCTTTTAAGTGAAAATAGTTAGAAATTATATTCGATTGACAAAAAACTTAAGTGCCGCGAATCGTAGAGTTTAATTAAACTATTTTTTGCAATATATATTTTAGGTTCTAAATGTTTAAATGTAAAGCTAATGTTAGTTTCTTTTGTTAATGTTTTGTTCGTTTTTGATTTTTATAAATTATAATATTAAATAAAATTAAAAAATTAGAAAATGAGCTCTCAGTCAGCGGAGGCGTTCATAACAAATAGTTCAACGACAGAAAAACCAAGGCCTGCTCCTGATTCCATTCAGCCAGAAGGCAATATCAGGGATGGGGAGCAGCCACTCGCAGGAAAACAGGTGAAAACATTGTATGGAGCATGTTTCTTAATGGTTTAAGGTGTATTTATTTCTTTTTTATTATTACGGTATTGAATTTATCTAAATTTTTCTCTTGGAAAATTTTAATCTATATATTTCTTGAATTATATACAATTAAATATTTAGAGAACGACCCCAACTCTTCGTTAAAGTCTATTAGGATGGGCCTGATACTTTTCTTTCGCCTTGACGATTTCATTTTTAACAGATCCTACATTTAAGTCTTTATGGATAGTTTCCGTATATGGTACATACATATGGTGCCCCAGTGATAGTTCTCAGTATCTTCGATTGAGGCTCTCTAATGCAACACCATAGTTTGGAGCCATATGTCCAAATTGGCTTGAGAACTGCATAGTACAAAAGTAATTTCAACGGACGTTTATAAGCCAATGTAGATTACCAGCTCTAAACTTATTTACGTCAAGTGAGCTGTCTATCCAAATGGACACCAAGGTGTGTTTCCTCGGTTGTTTGTGGCATGTTGATGTTGTTCAGAGACACTGGTGAGCAAGTCTGTTTAGGGTAAGGGTGACATGTTTGCACTTTTGCTCGTTTACATGTAGACGCCAGTTTGCCAGGCATTTATCCAAGGCCACGAGATGAGATGATAAGTGTTGGGCACTTGGAGCGCCTTAGGATGGCAGTATTGTCAGCAAATGTCGATGTTGTGTAGGACTGTTTGTCGGTATATCTGCTATGTAGATGGTATACAGCGTCGGTCCTGGGGTACACCTGTTTCATCTGGATGATATTCAGACACGAAATCTTTGCATCTTACTGCGAAAATTCTTTGCTGTGGGTATGACTCCAAGTAATAACGATAAGAATTAATAAGGTATAACAAATGATAGCAATGGATAATGCCTGATGCGACGCTTGATCAATAATCTTCCAGTATCTCCATGAGCCTTACCATCGGGTTGATTTTTCGCATAGAAGTTGTAGCCATTGAGATATAATAACTTTTGTACATAATATTAAAACATGGTTTTTTCTTTGAGGACTCTGAATACGTTTGTGGATCTATCTAACACACGGAATAGATCAATCACAATGATAAGATCGATTGCAAGAACAAAACAAGTTAAAGACAAGTTAACAAGTCTGTTAGATGTACACAACTTTATTACATAAATTAATGGCTTATATATAAGTATATGTAAGTAGTATGTATTCAGATACGAATAGATCGCACAGAACATCATTAGACATGCGCACATACAATACAATACAATACATTATTATTAATTCTGATCCATATAGATTTCTGGGGCTCATACAAGCTTATTGGTTTAGTAATTTCGAAAAAGTTATGAAAATACACCGTACCGAACAGTATTCCTCTGTTTAAATATTACATATTACACACACACAGAAAGAAGGAAAAGAAATGACTACAAGTTTGCATTAAATGCTCTATCTATCTATAAAGAAAATACTTATTAGTTACTAGACGCTCCATTTTCTGGATGTTTCTTGCATTAGAAAGCTTTCGCTTTCCGTGGAAGCATTTTTGGGGGGAGTGGTGGTAATACATTGAATTTTTGCAACTATTAATGGAGTTAATTATTGAGCAACTCTTTAATATAGAATTAACTGTGGGATAAATCTACTAGTTTAAACATTAAACTTGCGGATACTCGTACGTATTTGGAGCTGTCTCTCCGACATTTTGGGTCCTAAGCACAGTGGATTTTTTATAGTTTTATAAAATATATTCTGCTATATTCATTCAGTTTTACGGTTTGCTCACTTCATTTGTGGAGGGATATCCCATGGATATCCCATATCTCAATTTCTGATGTTTTCACAAGTCACAAAGGTTGTTTTGGATTTTGGTGTTCTCGAGTTGTTTTTTTTGGCACTGATCAACGTTTGCATTTAATTCATTTACATGCGTATCGTACATATCTATGTATATATATATATATTTATTTATATATCGTGTTTAATTGAGCAGGTTTTATGGATATGCAAATGTGAACTGGAACAACCGAAAGCGGACGCAATGCCGATAATACAGACATATATAGTATTTACCATCTGTTAGTTTTTTTGTTGGTTTCGCGTTTGCTATAAAATTAAATTAAAGAGGTATGGAAATTCACTAAACAGTATTTACAGGGTTTTATCATTCAAGGATAAACCAAAATGCCAAAAGCACATGTTGCATTATTGCTTATATTTGGAATAGTGTCTGCCACATGAATCGTGTGTCATCTGCTGCTCAACTTGTGTCTGCTGCCTAGTCCCACTCGCCGTCGTTGTCCGTAGACTCGCTCTCATCGTCGTCCGAGTGCATGGCAGTGCCGCGCGCCGCCAGTGCCCGTCGCAAAGCATCGGCCAGGGCATCGGTGCCGCCGGCGCCACCATCGCTACTGATGCGTTGGCTGCCCAGATCCCGTTTATCGGCCGGCTTCAGTACAATGCCAGTCCGTATCTCAGTCATCAAATCGCTGCGCGAGTCGCCGCTGCCGGTGCTCAAAGCAGCCGTATCCACTTTCTGTTTGAAAAAAGCATAAGGGTTATCCTCTCTGATCTCCAGTGGATTGGTTTCATCCTCACTTGACTCACCTTCAAGACTGTTCCCTTGCGAATGGCGTCCATCAGGGCGTTGTGTGAGTCCGGAGGCGCTTCCGCCGCTACCGGGGCCGGGGCTCGTTTCACTGCTTGGGTAGGTGCTTGTGTGGTCGTGATAATGGGTATCTCTCCAGCAGGCATTGGCGGGGGTGGTGGTGGTGGCGCCGATGCCGGTGGTGGCGGGGGTGGTGGAGGCGGCTGCGAAATACAAAACTTAACATCATCACTTTGCCCCTGCGATGGGTCTATTTTTTGGCTGCTTACCGCAACGGCGGGTGCGCTGACAGGTGGCGGCGGTGGGGCACTGCCGATGGGTGGTGGCCGGATGGGTGGTGGAGGTGCACGCATGGCGCCCGGCACCGTTGTGGGCACCGGGGGCGGCGGCTGCCTGGCCGGCGGAGGAGGCGCGGTTCTTTGGTTACCATTCTGTGACTGAAAAGAACAAGCAGAAGATGCTATAAATAATCGAAGTTTTGGTTCCGTTTCGCTGCCGGCACTCACATGGTTATGGCGGCTCGGCACCGGTGGCGGCATGTGGGTGGCGCTCACTGGCGTTGGTTCCGTCGGTGACTTCTCGCTCTCCTGCTTGACCGTGGCCAGCACATTGTTGCTCTGTATGAAGTCGTAGATGAAGGCGCGAGTATCCCGATCCTTCAGCTCCATCTCCGAGACGCCCGCCTTCACAAAGATCTCGTTCAGCATCTCGTCGTCCTCGTTGCCCGTCAGATCGAAGCCTTTGTCCGCATCCCAGCCCACATGGCTGATGTGCACAAAGTTCGTCGGCTGGCTAATGTCCGCCTTGGTCACCTTGCGCTTCTTGTCCTTGCCCTGGCTGCCCAGGCCGAAGTTGCTCGAAAGGAAGTTCTTCGTGGGCGCTGGCGTCAGTGTGACCGAATTGATTTTGTTGTTGCGCAACTGGACGGGCCCGCCGCCGTCCGTGGCCGTCATGCCGCCGCTGGGCTGCATGGCCGGGGGACGCATTGGCTCGCGTTGCACCGGCGGCACTGGAGCGTTCGGGGCCTGCTGGCTCTTCTGGCGACTGCGCTTCTCCTGGCGCTTGCGATTGCGCGTCTCGATGGTGGCATCTACGATGCGGAAGAAGTCGTCGCACTCCTTCTCGGAGACAAAGTTCAACCCCACATGACCGTCCTGCACAGAAAGAAGGATTAGTTTTCTAGTTTTGCAGTTGATTTTGTTGCCCACTTACGCTGCCCTCGAAGGTGAGCAGAAAGGGTCGCGACTTGACGATCTGCATGCCATCGTAGATCTCGTGCTCCCAGATGAGCTCGCTCTTGATCAGGCAGTAGGCGCGCAGGAAGTACGACCGTATGGCGCTGTCCTTCACGAAGCACACCACGCCCGTGTGCTTTTTCTTCCAGTGCGAATGGGCATTGCCTTCCGTCTTGTAGATCTGCACCACGGCCGTGTTGAGTGTCTGAAAAAGTGGAGCAAACGCAAGAGATTGCGTTACCATCATCATCGATAGATAGAAAGGCCTGTCTATTGTCCCCCCCTTGGGCGATTAGATAATCTCTGGCTCCCTCCAAACAAAAGAAGTAACACCTTCGGTTTGCGCCTCATTTGAATGCAACGTCTGAAAACTGTGCACACGGTGAACTGTCGCGTTCGAGTTGAAAAACCCATCTGACTTTCGGTTTCGCTGCCACAAGCAACAATCCATAAGCCACTCTGGGGCCCTACGCAAAAGCAGCGCTCATTTGAATACCGATTAGCCATCATCCCCATGGATCCCATCATCGTTTGGCATGGCCAGCACGTAGCTCCATTTGATGGAGCTCTGCCTGCCTGCCCCCCCCCAGAGAAAGAGCGACAGTGGGCACTAGTCTAGCCGAGACCTCTTCACCGGAGTGCAACGGATGTGCATAATGTGGCTCTGTGCGATTGAAGACATAATCGTTGAGGCTTTCGGGCAGGAAGTGCTGGCGACAGGAGGTGGCCACAGAATTGTCGCATCTGAAACCCTTTGCCAAAAGAATACTAGAAAAAGTGCAGATTGGCGCCAGAAAAGTCAAGGCCCAGCCCAGTCTTGTAGGTTCTGTTCTCAAGGCAAGGCAGGGCAGGGCAAGGCTAGGCCTCTTTCCCTCTCATTGATTGATAAAATTGTGTGATTTGTAGCAATAACATTTGACATTTGCCACTGGCCATGGCCCCCTCTACTGTCCCTGCCTTTGAGGGCACTTTCTGCTAATTGATTCCAATTTTGTCGCCGCTCTGGGCAGTGCTCCAAAAGTGTTACGTGCCGCCTGCACTACACATTATGTACAGTCCAATGTAATATTATCAATTAATGAGCAATACCCAGAGATGGTTGGATGCCGGAGATGGGGCTGGCTGTTGATGGGTGTGACCTTTGCAGCAAATAAAACGCCGAGATGGGGATTATGTGAAATGTGAACGTGAATATGAATGCTCTCCAACCCACACACACGCACACCCATCGCTTTGCATAAGTATCTGTGTCCACAAGTGCAAAAGTGTAAACACATTTGAATTTTTATTGATGGCTTAGCGGCCTCTGCCTCTGCCTCTGTTTTGTATCTGTATCTGTATCTGTGGATTTGTGTTTGTATTTGGACATAAGCAGCGCTTGTAAAAAAAAAATGATGTCTTGCCTTCTATGTAAAAGCTGGCTGTTTCTTTTTAAAAGCATAAAAATCGATGGCATGCAAACGGCAAAAAAAAGCTGGCCACTGCCACTGAACTCTGGCCGAGACGAGGGGGTCTAAAGCGGTACGACGGTAAAGGGGCAGGGTACTTTAAAACGGGGCAATGGCGAGCATTAACCCACATGGGACTAACGCGATAAATACATAGTACGCACTGTTAGGGGACGTGTTAGGTTTCAAAGGCACCAAACAAATCGGTGTAATACCCCTTCCTAGGGCTATGAATATTTTGAGCCACAGTTTGTCAACGCAAAAGTTTCCATACAGAATATTCTTGATCTCTCGATTGTATCTATGAAATTATTCTATTCTTTTTGGCAGAAACATCGTACAGACTTTGATTCTCGGAAGTGGCAAAAAGTATAGAGAGAGGGAGAGAGGGTGAAGATCCCCAGGGGTGAAGAGGGTGCCCACGCCGGTATTGTATACGTACACGTCTTCCTTTGGAACGATCAGAAAGCGAACGTTTGGAATGGCAAACGCCTTGAGCTTTCCAGAATTTCCACATATTTAATCTAACAAAATTTAACAGAATTTTACTCTAGGGGGAAAAAACTACATTTATTATTCAGAGAATTTAGACAAAATCGGAAAGCTATAGTTTTTTTACTGACAGATAACTGGCTGGCATTCTAGGGTGTTTACAGCTTCGATCATCGAGTGTACATTTGTATACTATGTGTGTGTGTTGTTTGTGTGGTTATTTATTATTGCAAACATTTATATTTAACTTTTAATAAATATATATAAAGAGTATTTTCGGGCTATTTTTAGGGCTCTATAAAGATATACCCAAACGAGAAGCTCGTCTATGAAAATATCCAAAATCCCTCGAACCCAGTAGCGGTTGACCCCTCGAACTATCTTTAATGGCTACAACTAAAGCAGAGCTCAAAACGTACATCAATTAGAAAGTTCGGCTTTCGGGAAATGTGCAAAATGTGCGATAAATAAATGAAGTGCAGGTATAACAAATAAAAGGCGAGCAAAATGTTGCGACAAACGACAAGCCATACGAGTAACAACAAAAGCAGCAGCCTGTCCCCCCCCCCCCCCCCCCCTCTCGTCCCCCGCGCCAGCGGTTAAGCTGGAGCTTTTCGTGTTATCAAACGATCAATGAATGGTGGAGCCACAAACAACAACGACTATGTCATCAACCCAATATATAAACCGCATCTAAAAGGGGGGGACTACTTTTGGCCAAGTTCAAATGCAATTTTCCCAATGTTTTGTCAATGGAAAGTTTGTTCGAAATTGGAAATTAGCAAAGCGTGGAATTACAATGCGAAAATGAGCAATGTTTTTCGTGTTGTGCACACACCACACCATAATTATCCGCATAACAGTGCACGTTAAATGGTTAAAATATTTCCACTTCTTTTTTACTACTTTGAAAGGGGAGTTCTTATCGGGACTTGGCATTGGCCAGTGCTTCAGCGGATGGATTGATAAGATATGGTTATGGGTATGGGTATGGGTCTGGGCACCTAACGAACGACTTATCGCCCGGGCAGCCATGAGAGTATGAGCAATGTTTTGCGACTTTTTCGGTTTCTCTTTCACTTCGCCCCAGAAAATTAGCCAATGAACATAAAAAAAAAACCAAGAAAACATCTGCGACTGGTCTTTGAATTGCCATTGCTTTTAAGGGGTTTTTCTATTGATTAATGTCCAAGTAAATGGAGTTTAAACATCAATTAAAACTTTGTAAAACTGTTCAACAACATTATTGGGAAACTATTTCCAAAACAGAGATGCATTTTGGGCACGTTTCTTAGTCAACAGTTTGATCTTTAAGCACACTAAAAATGGGTGCAAGTCAATAGCAATTAGAGAAATATAGTTATCAGAGCTGATAAAAGACCCAGTCGATGATAAGTAAATATATATAAGATCAACAATAGCTCATAAAATGGAACCTCAACACTCATATATGGGGAAATGATGAGTTCATTGAATATCTGCCCTTTTTTGTTTGTTTGAAAGGTGAAAATGGGTTAACAGCCATAGGATCGGCAGGTAACAGCTGTGAACCGACCGATATAGGGTTACAAAGGTGGGTTCTGAGAAGCATTCGGATTGTGGCACATGACCCTCGTGGAATGGGCATATATCGGGCGACACTTGAGCCGCAGGAAGTGCTTCATCAAGCTCAATGGCTAAGCCACAGAGAGAGAGAGAGAGGCAGAGGCAGAGACAGAGAGAGAGGAGGCGTGGAGTACTGGTACTCTGTCATTGCTTAATTATTAATCACATTCATATGTACGTACATACGTATATGTACGCATTATTCATCAAAAGCCAAAGCCACTCACTCACCTGACACTTTCTCCCGAGCATCTTGAAGACGGCCTCGTTCTCCTCCGGATTGAGCATCGTGCTGCTGGCATTGAGCTTGGGTCGAGACAGCGCTGCTGCCTGCTGGCCGTCCTGCGACGTCCTCATGATGCTGCTCATTGATGCGACAGCTGCCCCGCTGGCCTCCGCTGCTGCTGGCTGCTGGATGGCCAAGGATGACCTGGTTTAGCTGGATAGGATGGGACACACATATTTCATTTACATTTCATTCATTGGAGGGCGAAAACAATACGCAAATAACGGCAAGTCAACGGCAAGCTACTTGTCAACGGATGAATAAAGGGCATACAATACACCGCACACACACACACACAAAACAACACGAAACGAAACAAAACGAGATATAATTTTAATTTAATCATCAAATCACGCACACAGAGACAGAGGGGGAGAGGGCGACGGCGAGGGCGCTGCTCTGCTGATGAGGTCGAAGCCCAAAAAAACTGTGGAGGCCCAGAGACGTCGATAACAATACGAATGCACAGTTATTGCGAAAAGACCAGCCACTGGATTTGTCGCCCCATTCAAATGAAATATGAATAGTGGAAAATGGCAAGAAGACCGAACCGTCCGAAGACACACGGAGCAAGAGCTGACTGACTGCGGCTACGGCTGCGGCAATCGCTGCTGCTCGAGAGGTTGAGTCACAGGTCTGCGAGTCAGCCGCAGAGTCACAAACACACAGCAAGCAGCTGCCTACCGTTTGGTTAATGTGCTCTTATCTTTGGCAAAACCACTGATTAGGTTTGCGCATGTATCTGAAATTCCTATGACCTGCAATGAGTGTGTATCGCAAAGTGCGTGAACTGTTTAGCAGGCCAACAGAAGGGTTTCATGGGAAAAGAAGCCACAGACTCTGCCTCTCGTGACAAGAGTATTACTAGAGACACCAACACCTGTCCGCTCTCCAGGTGGGGTCGAAATTTAAATAGCTGAAGCAGCGCTGGCGCTCGCTCAAGGTCTTTCAGCCCTGCCGTCGCGCCCCGCCTCGCCCCACCACGCCACGCTAGTCATCGTCTGTTCCCCACCGACTTGTTTATGATGTTTCGCATATGCACTTTAACAATTCATTGATTTTTTGCGCTTATTTTTATGCACTTTTTGGGATTTTCATTTTTGGACTACGCACCACGCACACTCTCGTTTTCACTCGCTGCGGTTCGGTGCTGACACTTGGATCGCCTTGAGGGTGATTTTATAGCTTGTTTCACGTCGTCTGCTGCATTGTATATTGTCGCCAGACGTTTCACTTGTGCATTTTTATGCCCCTAAGTTTTCCGAGTTTGTTTTTCTCACAAGTTTGTTTATTTGGCACTGTATCGTATATCGATAAGAAATCGAACTTAGCCCACCCAAGCCCTCTTTATTTAATTGGGTGAACACCTTGAGGGAAACGGCGACATATAATACTGGTGGTGAAATTTTCTTGTAGATCCATCTTATCCTTCCATTTAACTTACAAAATGCCCCACAATATCTTTCACTTGAACTGCGCTAAAATTCTTCAAGATTCATAATTTTCGTAGAGAGTATTCTAATACCCACGGGTCAACAATGGGTTAATTGTTCTCCGTCCATGATCGAAAGTCAAATTTGTCGAGTTTGATGTTCGATTTGATATAACCTGCTAGCTAGGACTTCAATACATGCACACATAATTTTATCCGATTTATAGATCAATTTTCTCCAAGATATGCATATTTTAGGGACTCCTTGTTATTGGATTGTGTCTTAAACAAGGTTTAAGCTAAAAAAGTCAACAAAAAACAGTCGCAGTGTTGTGACGTCAATGTTGCTGGTATTTGCAGACTCTTTTCTTGTCAACCAGAGTATAGACATTTATATACCCTATTTCGTGGATATTATATTAAGATACTGTTTTCCAAGCTGTTTTAAAACGTAATTAATATAGAAATGATCTCAGATTGTTTTGTTTTGGACATATTAATGCATATGATTAGGGTCTCGATCCCTATACCCATTCTTGGTTTCTGTAAGACCAAAACCTTAAAAATATTGTTGAAATACCTTTATAACAGAGACAGACTAGTTTTGGCCTTTATTGGTGCATTAGATGACAAACATACTCTCAGTTCTATAATATCACTAACCATACAGTATACTGGGTATAATATTGATACGCTTTACAACATTGGTAATCACCGTTACTTGACATAGGCGTCATATTTTTTCGTGCTAGCTGCGATTTTTCTTTATTGTGGATAAACGGAGCTTGTAATTGCGACAAATCAACTTAGTTCAATTAATCATTAGTTGGTTTCGCTGTGGATCTAATTACTGAACATACAAAATGGGTAAATATGTGTGTGCGAAGTGTTATAAGTGCGGCTAATAATTCTTACCATTTCGGAATCAGAGGGGACTGATCAGAATTCAATTTTCGCACGTCTGAACTCAATCTACGGGAATCTTAACGGAGCATCGCCGCGCAGCGTAAAAATCCTTAAAACTAATTGCCAAAAGAAACCGGTGGACAAGAAATGCTTGTACGTGGACGCCAACAACAATGCGGAGAAAAAAGAGGAGGATATCGGATCCGATCTGCAATCGGAGAACATTATTATTAAGACATGCATATGCAAGCGTCCAGCGAAGGCCCTCGAGTGTGGTCGCTGCCACCAGTACTTGCATGGACGCGTTGCCACAATATGCGAGAAGCATCCAGTTGTAAGTTCTTGCCTATATTTTCCTTTGGTTGATTATGCTCTAACACACCATGTGCCCACAGGAAGCTTACCTAATGGACTTTCGCCAGTGTCCCTACTGTTTGGCGAGCGCCAAAGTAATCAAGGAATCTGAAAAAACTTGGGCTCAGATCCGTCAGATTGAGGACGCCATACTATCCGATAGTGATCTGTAAGCCGAGTTTGATACTCGTCACCAGCAGAATCAATTTACATTCAAAAATGTATATCTAGCAGTCAACTTAACGTGTTGAAAATACATCTGTATCCAATTAATTAATGTGTTTTTTTTTCGGGGTAGAAGTTTTTCTTTGTATTAATGTACATATGTAAAAAAGCATCGGACACCCACGAGCCCACATGCCAGGCTTCATATTTTCATGCGACTAAGGATGACGGAAAAGGGAACATGGCCTAGCTGGGTACAGCAGCAACGGGAGCACAAGAGCATCCCAACCAAGTGGATTACCGCCAAGTTAGTGCATTTAATTGAAGTGCTGTTTACATTTGTATGCCCTTCTTTTTACAGAAGAACTATAAACGCCCAGATCACCTTTTGACGGCAGGATGAGATCAGCAGAAGCATTGTCAACTGGCTGACACTGGCTTGGCGGCTTCCAGATAAGTCACACCGTGTTATTCTATATATTATGTATAGTTTGTGTGCTTCTTTTAACCCATCTACCATCTCAATTACAGTGCGGCTTTAACGCGTAGATTATAGAGGCATCGCCCCATTCAAATGAGAGAAGATTTGGATTTGCATATCTTTGAAATACTGGTTGTTTCTAAACAATATATTTCTCGGCTTATCAGCGGCCGATCCGAGATGTTGATGCTTTTCGGCAGTCTGCATCCTCGCGATCCTGAGACAGTTGGTCATTCACCGATCTGGCCCTATTTGTCTGAGATATAGCTATGCGAGAATTTAGATTTGCTATTCTTTGAAATACTTGTTTTTTCTGTGAGCTATATCTCGGTTAAGCAGCGGCCGATCCGGGCGAGGCGTGTCTTTTCGTGACCGCGAGAGTCCTGCAATTCGACTGCAGGACTAGGACTCGATAGGGATAAGCCACAGTGGATGCCACAGATTTTCGCCCTTTGTGGGGGCGGAAGTGGGCGGGGCGAAGTTTTTAAATATACTTGTAACAATGACATATCACAGAAGTCTGGATATAAAATGTCGTATAGTCCCTGCGCACTAGGGCGAACAGAAGGACAGACAGACAGGGCTCAATCGGCTCGGCTTTTGATGCTGATCCAGAATATATATACTTTGTGGGGTCGGAAACGATTCCTTTTGGACGTTACACACATCCATTTTCACCACAAATCTCATGTGTAGGGGTAACATTTTGAATATCGGGTATAAATAGTATTCGAGACTTTTGTTAAAACCACTAACCATACAGTACTGTATATAATATCCATTTCCCAGGGTATGTAAAAGGTTGATCAATCCGCGCAATGTTGTGGAACAATGCTGCTCGATTTCACGGCACATGAGTCTGGCCCATACAAATTAAATGTTGCCAGCAACATGCTGCTAATGTCGATGCTGTTAATAATAATCTAATACAAAGTATCGATGCCGATAACGAACCATCGATAAGACTTTTTTGAATAGTCGATTAATTTTACAGCTAGTACCAAAAATGGTCGCGACTTGAATGTGGCGCAACTGCGAAGTGTCAAATGTAGCAAGTACGTAAATATGATGTTTCCTTTTCATACGACGGTTATAGCAAATATTCCCAATTTGAAATTTGCCGCCGAGAAATGTGAGATCCATGGAATAAACGTGAGGAAAGTTGTCCCAGCTTGCCTAATTATGTAAAATATTAGAAAAGACTTCAGTCAAAAGACTGAACCTTCAAAAGGTTCTGTTATACCTGTTGATCCTGGAGTCTTCAAATTATTTCGAGTTCCAGTTTCCAGTTTTTGAACTGGACAAACATTTTTCGTTTGTTACGTTGTCCCGCAACAAGTGCACAAAGAAAGCTTTCACTTTCGCTTTTCTCGTGCTCCTAATTGGCTTTTGTCCTGCTGGTTTTTGCTCCTTGCTCTGTGTTTTTTTTTGCTCCGCTGTGCAATTAAAGCTGATGGCGGTCCTGGTGGGCCGGCTCTGGCTCTGAGCCGGGGATGAACTGTCTTCGTGGCATGTGGCAAGTCTTCGTGTGTGCTGGCACAGCTGATAATTGCAGTAGCAGTGCCACTGCCTCCTGCAATAAAAGTCACAATGACGACAGCTCACGACACATGGCCACGTCCTGCTTCCAGGAGAAATCCCCTACCGTGTGTGTGTGTGTGTGTGTGTGTTCGTGTTATTGACGGCCGGCGGGCCCTCTCCTGTGTATGTCGTGCCTGCCGTGGCACTACCGTGTAGTTATTGTTGAATTCAATTTGCTGTAAATGTATTGTTGGCTCGGTTTGTGGTTGCCTCTGTTGTCTTTGGTTACAGCTCATTAACAGCAGCAGCAGCGGCAGTCCATAACGAAAGCCAACGCTGATGCAGCTTTCGGTTACTTCGTAAATTTACACTCTTGCGATAGCATACAGTACAGTGAACGCTGGCTATGGTGGCGGATTGCTGCAGTGCACTGCAGTGGTTGGTCAAACATCGAGAAAAGTTGTGTCTGACATATAAAATGAGAACCAGACTACTTTCAAGGAATTTCAAAATAAATAAATAATGGAATCAGATAGACTGATACCAGACATCAGATAAAAATCATTTTCTTCCTAAAGCACACATACGTGTATATAGGCAGCCGATTTAAGAAACAACTTCAGGTAACAGACCATAAAAAAGTGTAAGCTAAACTTTATGCCGAGATTATAACGCTGTTAAAGAGAATTTAACAATAAAGATACACACAGAGCTAATAATGTTCCTAAAGGAATCTGCTGCTACTCAAATTTCTATGATTTTCTAGCTCTGAGGTCCGAAAACACTTTCCACAGCCTTTTATTCAGCTAAGAGCACATCGAAACGAATACAATATATGTACAATGTACAAGCAACAATAGCCCACTGTTGAACGTTCCTCACAATGGGGCTTACCTGTAGAGTGTATGTACATATGTGTGTGTGTGTAAAAGCTCAAGCTCAGGGCTCAGTGCTCAGGGCTCAGAGGCCTTAATTGCCAAACCGGCTGGGCCCTCTGCTTGTATCGCCTTGCTGCTGGCTGTTGCCTGTGCCTATGCCTCCTTGGGCCTCCTCCTGCCTGCTTCCCGGTTCTGTGGATGTGGATGTGGCTGTGGTTTGGATTTATGCTTGTTCTACATGCATGTTGTACAAACAATTTAGCTCTAACTGTGGCCCACACAATACAAACACTCATACACCATCGCCATCTCGTACCAGACCAGGCCTGACGATTCGTATGCGTGCTGGACGACCTCCATTTAACACCAAACGTGTCATTTGTGGCCATTTGCCGGTGGTTGCCATTCATATTTGTGTGTCTGTGTATGTGTGTGTGTATGTGTACTGTGCTGCTTTATGAGGCTTTGGCTGCATTTTGTGGTCTATTAAGTGGCTCGCAACTAAACCGAAAAAATACATATGCCATCATCTTTATGCGACTTGTCCAACAAGGCGTATGATCGTTATGCCTCAAGTGAGCAACAAGCGTTGGTAGCCACATAAATCCCTGGTAGTCATTGAATGGCCCACTAAAACGCCAAAGTGCACTGCGGAACTGCTTGTCAGGAGTCCGGACAAGAGCTGGCGTCGCCTCCGGGGATATAAACTAAAGTTCATTAAAAGTAAAATCTTTGAAACGCGTAAGGGTTGTGGCTAAACGAATGTTGAATACTCTTCAGAAGTGAAGAGTTCTTGCTGGAGTGGAGGCTTGAAGGTACAAAAGTTACTCTCAGTGAAAGTTCTGACGTATTGTTCGTTATGGCAGGACTTAACTTGATCCCCGCCGTAAGGGCACCAATTGATCCATTATGCACACACCGTCTCATCCCCGACGAATCGTAATACCCCCAAGCATGAAGCGTATGTAATAAAACAAGTAAGCAAGAATGGAAAAGAGGAAAGAGGAGCTGTGGCAACCGAGTCCACAACCAAGATGTTTACGACGCTGCTTGCGGGGCATGCAACAGTGGCAGAGGCCCCGGCAACCTCATGAATGTCGACGGCGTCGCCTACGCCACAGATAAAAGCGTCCAAGAAAACTTTCGCCCCCCCACCCCCAAAAGGAACCCCTAAACACCCGACAGAAGCAACAGTAAGCTAAGGCGACAGACAGACGCACACATGCACGGACCTGTCTAACTGAACCTAAGCCTCCTCCAGGTTATGTGAGTGTATTAAAAGTACATAAAAAAAAGGAACAGAACAGAGGGAAGAACATTTAAAATGAAAGAATGGGAATGGGCATGATTATGGGGTGGTGGCAAGTGAGCAGTGGGTCGTCGCACAGATACACAAATAAACAAATTAATAAAAGGCAAATAATGAAACACAACAGAAACACGAGTCATAAATTAAATAGAAACAGCGAAAATTACTTACCCCAAAGGCCCCAACCAGCGGGTGCCTTAAACAGCAGCAGGAGCAGCAAATCAAAAAAAAAAAATGTCCTGTCCTCCTCCGTTGCTGCTGTCAATTTTTCGTAGCATACACACAGGCGCGAGCGTCAAAAAACTTTACTAAAAGAAATGAATGAAGGATGAAGATGGCTGTGCCATGGAATGGTATGGTTGTGGGATGTACGTGGTAGTAGCTAGTGGGTGCCAGCACGAATAATCTGCTAGCGATTTATTTGTTGCTGTCGCCGGCAACAGAATCGGAGTCGCACTCGGAGCCGGAGTGGAAGCCACTCCACCCCCTTCCCGACTGCTATTTTGGTTACTTCTTTTCCATATTTCTATTTCTGCTTACTTTCAAGTAATGCCGATGCCGATGCCCATGCCGATGGCCATGCCGATGTCGATGCCGATGCCCATGCCGAGCAGCTGCCGTTGTCGGCAACGTATCACACAACAACCATCGGTGGCATCATGGTCGGGAGTCGGTGCTCGGCTGTGGCCCGCAGTCGTGCGTTGTCCTTTGCTCCTGTCGGTTGTGTCCGCGCTCCGGAGCCTGGCTGGGGCCTCTCGACATTCTCCGAATCTCCGAATCATTCTGGCAACGGGCCGTGCACACACCTGTGCGCTATCACCCTCCACCGGAGAGTTAACGTAAGCAAATTTGCACGTAAATTGCGCTAAATTATCTGCAGCACAACAAAAATTTGCCTGGCGCGGATTTCATCGCGTGTGCCTGTGTGCCTGTGCCTCCATCCATCCAGCCATCCCTTCCAGAGGGTACTCCTCCTTCCCTAACCCCCCGGCCCTGTGTGTGTTTGGAGTAAAGTAAAGTAGAGTACACGAGGAAAAGCAGGAAAAACACGAAATAACCGCTAAGTGTTTTACAACTCGAAGGCGTTAAGTTGGCCATCCCGGGACCAAGTCTCTCCGGAGCCCAAACAACAACAAGTACAACAAATTCGAGTACGATGACGGCAAACAAGAATCTGTGTAAGCAGTTTTTGCCTGAGGGCCTTAAATGCCCGACAGGGCTCTAGTTTGTCAACACTTTTTTGCCTAAGTATAAGTACTATCTCTTGTGTATTTTCATGGCTCGTTTATTGAATTTAAAGCAACTGTGAACTATTCTTGATAATAGTGAAAGTTATCTTGGAAATGAAGACTAAGATGGCTAAAGCACAAAAGAGAGAAACAACTTTCATTTATGGCTCATAAAAAGTTTCATTTGTGAAGAAATTTAACGAACTATTCGACCTTTCTGTTGGAAAACAGTTTAAAATTATAGCGAAATTTATGACTTTGCTTAATTGACTATTTTGTGATGATATTTCAAAGTCCAGCTTAAAAGAAAATGTAAAATTTTTAACCTTAACTTGGGGAAATTTTCCTTCTGCCATCTGCCCGACATTCGCTTTAAGAACATCCCACAGGATTTGCTGAGTTAGGCTCTTGAGGTCTCCGTATGGGATTAGGCCCGCGGCAGTTCAGCGAACTCCCACCACCTCAAGGTCCTGGCCACTTGTCAGCAGGTGGCATTACTCCATGGCTGGCCACATTTTATGGTTTGTCAGCATTTACATGTCGTCTGTCCCCTGATACGTTTTTTCACCCCGGCTCCTGCTGGGGCTCTGAGTGTATTGTGTGTGTGTCCAAAGGCCGCGACATTTGTGTTGTTCTACTGTTGGCTACGCATAAATTTTAATAGTTTTCCTATGCCCTGGCTGACAGTCTGTCTGCAACTATACCACTCCACTCTGTTGTGGCATCGACTGTCTATAAATAAGGTCCAGCCTAGGCTTATCCTTGCCTTGAGCTGTTCAAAATGGAATTATAAATATTTCACGTACCAAAATATAGACATGACCGACTGAAAAGGTTTTCCCACACACACGAGTAGATCTCAGGTCTTTCCCCCACACCCACCCCCACACCCCCATCCGCACCCACTCTGGCTCCTACTTCGACACCCACTCTGCGTCCCCCACAATGTCTCTGCCACTTTCTCTGCCGCTCCTCCCACACACGTGGAAGTGGAAGTAGAAGGAAGGAAGGTGGGTTATTTATTCGCGCATCAGGCACTCGTGGGCCTGTTTAATCATAACGAAATGTGGCTCACCTGAGGGGTGGCGTTGGCGGTGGCGGTGGCGCTGGCTGGGGGAAGGTGGAGCGTGTGTTGTGGGGTCTGAGTTCTGGTTTGGATTTCCATTAGCGCATTTCATTTTAATTAAACTGGCAACTGTCACGTAGCCGGGTCCGTAGCACATCGATTTGTTAGGCATTAGCCCAGTAATTTGCCTGCCTTCACCCTATACCACTCCCCCTCTGTCCCTCCATTTCTGTGTAAACCACAAACTTTCCCTGTCCTTGTCTGCCTTTTTTTTCTGATTTGGTCTTACGAAACTATGAACAAGAAGTTGATAAAGTAAACTTTTCCAAAAAGTTCAAAAGTTTTCCGGCAAATTGCGGTCGGCCAGAGGAAATGCTCTGCCACACAAGATGATGGCAACTTTCGGGGAGTGCAAGTGGAATTTGTGGCCACAATTTCAATATTAATTTCAGCTGGACCGCCTCCTTCCTCCCACTCCTCCTCCTCTAGGGCTTATTCCGCCCACCTGGGCAGGTGGATAAACATCGACATCGAATTTTAGAAAAATAACTTCCAGCCCCAGACCGGTTATCGCTTAACAATGTGTAAACTCTCTAAACGAATTATTTTCAATAATATTTTATAGTAGTCCCGCGGGCAGAGATTGTTCGAATAGTTTGAGCAAAACTTTCGGGGTTTTCCCCCAATACATATGTACATACGTGTGTATGTTTGGGCGCATTGTATACACGCACAGACTATAAGGAGCCGCCTCGATGACTCTCAATTAAACGTATTTTAAGCGTTATGTGCTCCACCACCAAAGTACTGGAAAAGTTTTTGTGGGGGCGAGTGCCTTCACTTGGGAACCGGTAGCCGGGAGCCGGGGGATATTCCCCAAAAACTTTTTCAATCGATGCCACAAAAGCAGCGCCAGGCAATTAATGCCACAAACGGGGAAAAAAGAAGCAGCAGCAACAAAAGGGCATGGAGTTATTCGACAATGGGATACCTGGTACTCAGAGGTGCCAAAGGGTTCCTACAAGGGTTCCTCTATTAACAGGATCAGTGTCCGCAGATTGTATCGATATATTGGATAATGGTTGAGGCCATAGGATTCTTTTCACACTTATCTGATTGCAAAGATCGCCGACAAATACACCCTCGCACTCTTCTGGCAATGGGTGTACAAAAGTGAGAACAAAACTGCGAGTGGAAATTGGCGTGTTTGTCTGCGTTCGTTGTTGTTGTTGGTCGTGTTCTTGTTGCGCCTCCGGCATGGGATCAGGGGCCATCATAGGAAGGATTGGGGGCATCGTCTGCTTTTGAAGTAGTTCATTAAGTGATTGTTTGATTGATGGTGCCCCGAATGAGTTGTCTGCATCTCCATCTTCATTTGATTTGATTTTCATTGCTCAGGACCGCAGTTGCCCTCTGGCTTCATTTGTTTGGTTTTTAATTGGCCAGAACAACGGGGCTAAATAAGCGGCTAACGGCGCTGAGAGGAGGCTGATAATAGTACGGTTCTGGGCAATATTCGACCTTGCATGGACTTGCAGTAGAATGGATGAATGGAGTGGGGGGAGGCAAATTCAGGCACCTCCTTGCTTTTGTTTTGATTGATGACCTGGCTAGAAATAATATTTGAGTGTGCGCTTGTTAAGCTTATGCTCTATATATATACTATAATGGTCCTTTGTCTGGCAGTTGATTGAACGGTATTTCAATTAGGGGAAATTGGCATCGTTTGCGGCCAGAAATATGTTCGACAGGTCGATGGAATAACCGCCCAAATGCGACTCTTTTAACAGTTCACAATTAAATATTACTTCCTCCCACATAATCCAATCAAATTTTGAGTGAAATGGAATGCAATTAATAATTGAAATTAGTCAAATATTGATGGACAATTGGTGGTATTTATTTCTATTTGAATATTAACTTCGATAAAGGCTTTTGTTGGTTAAATATTTGGACAAAAACATTCCATTTACACACCAATTAGCCATTGTTCAGTCATTTATAGCATTTGCAAATTCAATTAGATACATGATTAGAGAGACACGAAGCGGAATTTCAGAGGAATGTCTCTATCTATTCGGCAACCATCGAAAATCATGCCACATTACGTATACGCCACGCACGCCAGTGACTCTGCACAGCGGCAATGTATGCCCAGCTAACTAGCTGCCAGCAAATAGACACAGACATAATCGTACACGGTCGTAGGGAGGGAGCTACAGAAGGACAGAGATAGAGGACAAAGGATTCGAGGCCATTGTATGGATGAGTGCTGAGGGAAAGGAAATCACCCATTCATAAACACATCTGTCTCCCCCTTTGCTCATCTGTCATCTGGAGTTTGGTTAGTCAAACGTTTGGTTACATTTCGCTAGCTAAAAATACAACTGGCAGGCAGGCAGGACTCTGCTGTGTCTCTGTCTCTGTGTATCCATAAGATACACACTGCGGAGCAGTGGATGGGGGTCCAGGTTGGTTGGCACTGCCACTGCGCTCATCTAATTATAGCTTCATTACGGCGCTGCCTGATGGCGGACCCCGGTCGAAGGACAAACGCTGTCCAAGTAGGCCATGTGCCACCTATGGGGCTTCGGCCTAGACATATTATTATCCAGCCAGTTGGGTAGCTTTCCCAGCTCCCAATGCGTCTGACGATGCCTCACTGCCAACAGAATCATCATCATCGTCTGCATTACCGGGGGGCGATAATAATGAAGAAAACAGCGCGAAATTGCAGCCATTAGTTGGCCCCAAAAAGCCATTGAAGAGGCCCAAGAGTGTTTACCACTTGGGCGCTGACATTTTTCTGGAAAAACTGACACCACCCCGCCACCCTCCACACATGGGCGGCACAGCATAGAGACCCAGTGATTTGATTGTATTTGATTTGCCTTCACTTCTCGTGTGATTTTTCGATTCTTTTCTCTTGTTTTCGGGGCTCGTGTTGACGCTGATTGAATACAAATACAAATACAAACAAATGGTGCTCACCTGCATGTAAATAAAAGCTTTAATACATCAACAAATAATGGCATGTCTAACAGTCCTTGCCACCTTGCCACCCATCCAGCCACTCCCCATAGCCCACACTCACGTTGTGCCCGCACATCCGTTTCCGTTTCCCTTTTTTTTTTTGGTTCTGTTCAATGTTGGGACCAAATTCGATTTTCAACATTTTACACTTTGATTTTCGGGGCTGTTTTGTTGTTTTTATATGCCGATGTCCTTGTCATTATGTGATTTTGTATTTTGCAACAATAGAATTTACGTGGGGCAGGGAGGGAGGTAGATCCTTAGCCCCACCTTGCGCAAGGCTCTGGCCTGTCGCCTTGAAAATTCCCCGTAGAGCATTTGACTTTAATGGCGTTCGGGATTCAGAGTGTATTGACATGTTATGATGCGTGGCCAAGAACACACACACACACACTCAGGCGTTTTATATCTGTATATATATCCATATACTTTCTCGTATATAGCTTTATATCTGCTGCGTGCGTTGCCTGCCAACACACACACTGTCCCGTACCGTGCCGTGCCGTGCCGT